TGGTCTCCTGATGGGGCCCAGAGTCAGAACTAAACCAGGTTCTGGTCTCCTGATGGGGCCCAGAGTCAGAACTAAACCAGGTTCTGGTCTCCTGATGGGGCCCAGAGTCTGAAATAAACCAGGTGGAGCTTCATTTTTGCTCCATGATCCTAAAATCTGGTTTTCTTCCTTAAGACCTGAGACAGAAATCGGCTCTGAATATTTAAATCTCTGCTGAAAACACTTCTGTTCAACTCTGAATATGGAAATTCGATATATTTGATCCGCACCCTTCACTTTTTATCTAATTTATTTAGTTGATTCCTTTTCTTTCTTAGTTTTTCTGCTTTTAAATTCTATGTGAAGCATGTTGAGTCTTGAGATAAACTTGCCTTGGCTTTTTAAACGTGGCAACCGGAGGGCTGCTGGCTGGTGAAAAGACCCCCAATCGGGATAAAGTGAGGATCAGAACATGGAAGAAAAGGAGGGATGGGGGGGGGGGCCCTGATGGAGGCGTTTGGCTCCCGGAACCCAGACAGACAGGGAGTCGGCGGGACGGAGGAGGGAGGATTATTGTTTACAGCACATTTCAGACAGGAGGAGCATCTCTACCCCCCCCAGTTTGGGAGTTTCTGTGGGTTTCTGAGCTTCTGCCAGATAAAATAACAGCCCTATCCCTCTTTCTAAACCTTCTAAACATTTGTCAGGTTAGCATCCAGCCTTGATTTCCTTCTAATCCAATAACTAGCTGGGGGGGATACGATACTCATTTTCCATTCTATCTGATTTATTTATTCATTTACGTTGTTTATTATCATTAACGTGACGTTAGCCTTGAATTGCTAGCTGCGGCTAACGGCTAATAACAACACGCCAACATTAATCAAGTCCGTCTGACTGCAGACTGCAGAAAGCCAAGGATGGATATCCAACTCCGCCCACATCCAAGTCGGCCATTTTGATTAGGTCACCAATAGGAAGATCCCAGGCAAGAAAATCCTAATTGCTTCATGTCAATATAGACGTTAATTTAAAAATAGTTAAATGAATCTTGCAAACACTGAATTAAACTCTATCCATAATATTATGTTAAAATAGTGGATGTTAAATAGGTTTGTACAATAAGTCCAAACAAGTTTAACCAAAAAATATTTATTTCTCACAATGATGAAGGGTGGAGGGTTAGGGTCATGGTCAGGGTTAGGGTTAGGGTTAGGTTCAGGTAAAAATAAGAGAAAGCGACATTAAGTTTTCCCTAATCAACCCAACAAAATCAGCACGAAAATACAGTAAACAGCTAAATAAGGATTAAAAATTTCAACTGTCAAATATAGAAAAATCCACATCATCCAACACACTTTAAAAGCAAGAAGTTGATCGTTTTTTTTGTCTAATAAACACAATTATTTATTTAACTGTTAGAAAAACGGACAAAAGCAGTCTGTATTGAATCAGATTTAGGGTTTAGGTTTAGGGTTAGTTTTAGGGTTAATTTTTGGGTTAGGTTTAGGATCAGGGTCAGGGTTAGGACATCGTTTTTCTTCCGATTTCATATAGACTGTAAAGTCTCGTTTCCACCTCAGAAAGCTGCTAGTCACATGACCTAATCAAAACGGCCCACTTGGATGCGGGAGGAGTTGGATATCTGCCTCCGTTTACAGGCCCAAACCCGGTTATCCCCCTCCTGAATCAGCCTTCCCCTTCAGGCCGGAGAAGAGACAGAGCAGAGGCTCTAAAGCCGAACTCCCCCGGGCCACAGGGCCTCATCACTGCTGACTAAGCGCCTTTTTCCACTTTCCCCGACCCGCTAACGAGATCCAGAGACGCGTAAACTCCTCCGCCTGAGGCTTCAGGACACTCTGCCCTCAGGGGAGGCCCCAGAAATACCAACCAGGAAACAGCCACCGATTCAACAGAAGCTTCACTTCTGGGTCGAGCTAGCTGTAGCTTAGCGGACGCTAAGGAACAGGATTAGTCCTAAAAGATGTTCAAGGACTGGTTAACTCATTGACTGCCAGCCATTTTCAGAACAGAGTCCCATACTGCCAGAGTTTTTTTGAGCATTTTGACTGATTTTTCAAGAGCCACAGAATAGTTTGTGCTATGACTATGTAAACACCGAACACACCAAAAGAAAGAGTAGACTCTCTTCTTTCATCAGGAAAAAAAAATAGTTTCTACCTTATTCTGTTCTTCCTCGACTTGCGTCTCACCGTCGACATGTTCTCTCATAGCGAACCGTCACCTTTTTCTTATCTGCCTACAGTCTATGCTCATCTCCCATCAAAAGTGGCACTGCCCCCTAGAGGGTCAATTTGTTACTACATACTCTGTCTAGAAGCTGATATTTACGGACAAGCTTTAGCAGATCGTCCCCCAGACACTCTGGTTGAAAAACATAAAAGACGTCTTTGGCAGTCAACGGTTGTATTTGAATTGACGTCTATAGACGTCTTTGGCAGCCAGTGAGTTAAGGAATAATTAAATTAATTAAACTGTCACTTGGTCAGTTGAACAGAGGAGCATGTTCGTCTCTCCTGAGGAAATATCTCCACTTATGTGACTAACAGCTAAACCCACAGGCACAGATTTGTACTTTAAGA